GGGGTGATGGGCTGGTGGCTTGGAGTTGGGAGGGGGGCCTACAAGCCTTACCCCTCACCATCTGCTGAACAGGCTAAGTGAGGACAGGGGTAGGGCCAGAGTGCGGGTGGAGTATGTGAGCGCGTGCATGGAAACTACGCGTGTATCTGCATGCACGCACCTGTTAGTGTGTCAGTGGGCGGGTGAGTGGGATGGCAGATGGACAGGGCATACTCCTGGCACTACAGCTTCAGTGTTAGTCATCCCAAATTAAGGAGTATCCCCCCTTCCCCCACATTCCTAACCCCTGCTACCTAATACACAGTGCCAGCCAATTCTTTATGTTTTGCTCAGTTTGATTAAGACATCCATGATTAGAGACATTATGAGCTGGGTGAGAGGGTGTGTGAACAGCTTATCCATGCGGCTCTTTACTGTAATCAAAGCCAAACAGATGCAGTCTCATTGGTCCCCACGCCACTCAGCAATATCTCATATTCTGACATTGCAGACACATTTTATCCAAATTTCATCTTGAGCAAAATGCAGCAGAAATATGGATATATTTACACACACACACACACACACACACACACACACACTGCCCCAGACAACACATCTTCATACCATAATTTGATAATCCCCCTACCAACCCCCTTGTTGTTTGCCTGAATTTTCTCTCACACATTGTGATCTGTTTATCCCCCCCCCCCAATTTAGGGGAAAAAAAAAAAAAAGGGGGTCAGAGTGGCAGACAGTTCGGTCTTGCTGAGCAGTAATCTGAAAAAAAAAAAAAAATGCCTGTAATCCTCCATACAGAGCCCTTCTGGAGACCGTGGTTATATGTGGAGGTGTAGCCTCGTCTCAGTTTAGCAGCCATGTGTCTGACCAAGCCTGACACGCAACTAGGTCCTTACAGCTGCCAGGACACACACTGAGAGATGAGGCACAGTAAAGCTGCCCCCGGTCACTCACTGGAATAATTATGCCTTTTTCCCCCCCATACAATGCCGAGGGGGCGCAGGTCACTGAACTTAATCATCTCTGTGTTGGTACAAGTGACATAAATGAGAGCCAATGAAATCATGGTTTATGATCATGCTATTATAAATTTAGAGTGGGCACAGTACACCAACTGGCACTCTTTCTGAAAGTTGAGATGATCAGACTAAAACAACGCTCACTGATAACTCTTTACTTGGAAACACCAAAAGTGACAGTATGAGTGTATTAGCTTTTATTTTGGTGGCACTCATTTTTAGAGAGAACACGTGATTTCTCCCAGGGGACTTCTACAACGACGAAGTGGCACTGGTACTCCTGAAACAAATGGCAAATTAGTACATTTAACTACTATGCAATTTGAAAATATTAAAAAAAAAAGGGGGGGGGTGTTAGTGGGGTTATGATGCATTTACCCCCTCGGTGTGTTATGCACCACCCAGTTCTTGAACTTGCCTTGCGTCTAGACTGGAAAGCACATGGCTCGCTGTCCGCAGCAGCGTGGTTTCTGCTGCACACAGTCTGCCCCAGCAGCATGTCCAGAATGTACTTTATTCCCGCAACTACCTGCAGAAAACATCACCACCTATTCGTATATTTTAACTGAAAATTGGGTTGCGACTTCTGATGAAGTTTTACCTGAATTTTAGCCGATGTTATCGCCACGGTTTTATAAGCGAACATCTCTCCTGCGTTGACTTTGTTGAATTCAGCCACAGCAAAGTGAGCTGCCGTCAAAACCCTGGTGTCGTTAACCGGAACACGTCGGGGCTCCCCGGTCATGGTTTGTTCGGCGGCCGAAGCACAAACAAAAACAAAAAACCAGGCAAACATCCTGAATGAAAACATGTGGGTCCAAAGTTTATAATAGAAAGTCTCGGCTCTGAGTGTCTAACTTCGCATTATATGCCGGGTTAAAACTTGCTCGGTAAACGCACACCTGCGTCCAATCTGCTGATTAACTGAACGTAAAAGAGACACGCGCCACTCAGAACAGTAGATTCGGTGTTGCGCGGCAACCACGTTCTGAGCTACGAGAAAACACAACTACACAGACTTTAAAAAAAAAAAAAAAAAAAAAAAAAAAAAAAAAAAATATATATATCATATATATATATATATATATATATATATCCATATATATATATATATATATATATCCATATATATATACAATGAATTTAAGAACTAATGGCATATTTATTATTTAAAACAACAATGTCACTGCTATAAAGACAAAGTATCAGTGATTATTTGAATATATGAAGGGTGACAAGGGGAAAAAAAATAACAGAAACGCCAATAAAAGGGATAAAACTCCATTCTTCTTAAAGTTATTCACTCATTTTGTGTTTTGATCATGTGGGTAAGCCTAAAATCTTTCAAAGGTGTTTCTCCTCAGATCTCTCCCCTTGAATCTGCAGGTCTGGATCAACTTGATCCTTATTTTCACAAGCTGACAAGAGACTTTATATTAGAACTACTAACTTCTATTTTTAACATTCTCCTTTCAAACAATGAGATCTCTGTCATATGGAAATCTGCCTATGTTTTCCTTTTATTAGAAGGAAATTACCAATCAGTTACAGGCCAATTTTAGCAACGGTGTTTTAGCAAAGGTTTTCCAAAGACTTATTAATGAACAACTAACTGTTTTCCAACATTAGTCAAGTTTTAGAAAGCAGCACAGCAAAATAACAGCTGTTGTTAATGTGGTGAATGTATAATGGTGCAATGGACTGCACAAAACATTGTGCTGTTCTTTTTCGTGATCTGTTTTGACACAATTGATCATGACACCTAAATGGACAACCCAACATTGGCTTGTCTGCAAATGCTTAAGTTGGCTTTTACATTACTTGTCAGCTAGAACATAGTACGGCCCCTTTACTGCGTTTTCTTCTTCTTTTCTCCCAGTATCCAGTGAAGTTCCCGAGGGCTCTATATTAGCACCACTCCTCTCTTTCTCTATGCAACTAACATTAGTGAAAAATGTTGCATTTTCTTTTTATGCAGATGACACAGTTATCTTTGAGATCTTATATGACTCCTTGAGTCATATAGGCCCTCAAATTTCCGATGCTTGTTAAATGAAGGCAAATCCGATGTGGTGATGTTCTCAAATAGCAAAGAGTTAACAAATTTGCCTAAAATCAAAACCACTCAAGGGGGTAAAATTGAAACGGTCACAATTTAGGCAAGTATTTAGGCATCATTACAGATCAAAAAATGTCTTTTAAACCCAAGCTGAAAAGCTTGTGACCAAGCTGAAATATAATCAAGTTTCTTTTAGGAATAAATCTTATTTCTTGCTCCTCGTGTGGAAACACCTGATTTCTGCAACTTTTTTTGTGATGGTGAGGTGTTCTTTATGACCAGTACCATTGTTCTTTATGTTTTATTATTAGCTTGGAAATCATGGACATCACTGCTTGGGCTAGTTATACACCCAGTGCACCTATGTCCCTTTATCCTGGAATAATCTACAAAAGGAGCTGAAACAATCAGAACTGAGGGAGTTAAAATCAATTTTAAAGGACCAAGTTGCTCTTGTAATGATCTGTTATTGTGTATGTTTAAAGATATTAGTGTTTGCCATTTTTATCTTTGTTATATTGTTATATATTTCTCCTGCCCTCTTTGCCAGGTCTCTCTAATAACATTTACCTAGGTACATCAAGGATATATACGTAACCAAGCTGAATGATAGTCTCTTGTGCAACATTTTATTGGTGTGGTAAGCAATTTTAGTTTAAAGACTGCAGGGTCAGTTACTGGTTTCAAAAACTACTAAACACAAATTGTCAAACTCCTCTTAGGCCACATACAGCCCAGTGTGATTGCAAGTGAGACCAACCAGTAAAATATTGCATAGAAAAAACAGTATTCCAATGTTTTTTCCTATTTGTTTGAACAAGTAAATACTAAAAATGTAAAAATTAATTAATTAATTAATACATTTAAAAAAATAAAGTTTTAAAAAGAAAAGAAAAATCAATAAAACCAACCCCCAAATGTAAGACACCCTTTATCCCACTCCTCTCAGTTTATGTTATTGCATAAGCCACAAAATATTGACATTTGGAGCTTTTATACCTAAACAACAACATTATTTTATGTCTTTACTAATACTTTCCATATAGGTAAACTTCTATGTAGTAAAACTGGCAATACAAAATGAATAAAAGTGTTTTTTATTGAAAAATTGAAGTAGGTAATGACTGCACGAAGTTTTTACAATTTACAAAGCTATGCAGTGGGCCAAACTTAACCAGTTTCTAGCCTCTGGGTCGCATATCTGACGTGACTGTACTAAATCATTTACACAACAAGGTTATTAAAACGCAGCCTCACCCAGGCACAGAAAATTCCTTGAAATGGGGATATCAAAGAGCATTGCTGTAAATCCATCCTCAAAACTTTGAAGTCTGTGTGAGAAAGGGTACAAGCAACTTTAAAGGGGTTGCAGGGTTACCATGTTAAATACAATATCGGATGGAAACACTGCAAAATAACGCAAAGCACACCTTGCCCAACCCGAAGCCTGGCAGCAGCATGTTCATGCTATGGAAACGCTTCTATGCCGCAGACCCTGTAAGGGTTTGTGAAGGTAGATGGATCCAAAGGATCAAAATATGGGTAGTAAAATATGCTTTTTTTGGTAACAGGACAATTTTAAACATAATTTTGTATCCTTTTGCAAAGGTGTGTTTTAAAACCGAATCTATTTCTACACAATTCAGCCTGAATCTACTGCCAACTGTGACAAAAACACACAATAAATTATTTTCCTTTGTTTCCCAGCCTTATCACACACACACACACACACACACACACACACACACACACACACACACACACACACACACACACATACACGCAATGTAAACATGAACTCTCACATAATTAGGCTTGCAGTAAGTCACCAAATTAAGATGAGAACAATATCAGCTAAATTGTAAGATGTGTTTATTTGTAATATGAATGGACATTCTAGGGGTTTTATAAATCTTATCATGTAATGTGACATAGTTTTTGAGTTAACTGCAGACAAATATTGAGAAATGTCGACTCATAGTTGCAGAGTCACATTCATGAGAGGATCTTTGCCCAGAGAGTAGTGTGGTGCTGTAGAAGACATTGGGAGGGGGGCATAAATGGACATAAACTACAGCGTTTGTGAGTTGCATTTAAAGATATTACCAAATTAATACCAAAATGTAAAAAAAATATTCCTTTGTTTCACTGTGAACTTCCCACAAGGCTGCGGTAATCCAAAATGTTGAGACAGTGTGCAGTGTGGGTGGGAAAACAGCATACTGAAGGTGGGTGCTGAGTTTATTTCACAGAAGCAAATGATCTTTTCAAGGCCAATATGAAAAGGATAAATAACTGAATTAGTACTAAAACTAACCAGTGTTCCTATTTCCAGTTTATCTGCCGATTATCTCCCTGTTAATCAATAAAGGTTTTTTCTTGATAAAATATCCGAAGATGGTAAAATGGTAAAGGGAACAGAACGTGGAAAATCCCGACAACCAAAAACATGAAACCAGATAAAGAAAACCAGAAAAGTGGCATCTTTTCTTGTTAAATAAATGATTTAAATGACAAATTGCTTAACAAAATGACTGCAGAGTGATTTTCCTCTTGAACAACCAACCTCTTATTCCTGTCTGCTCTACATATATTGTATTAAGGTTCACTCAAAACCCAATCTATCATTTAATGAATCTCTTCTCCTCCTTTTGAAGGAGAAAATGTTTTGCAGCTGAACTTTAAAAAGCTTTTAAAACTTGAAAATACTTCAGCAATTAGTCTCCAGAAAGAAATCATCCTGAATCAAAAGCAAACACATAAAGTTAGGATGTTGTGTAAAATGTAAATGAAGCAGTTATTTTCAGAGTATTTAAATACTCTAATTGTAAATAGCATAAAAGATAACATTTGAAGGTGAGAGCAAAAAAAAGGGAATTAAAAAAAATGTATTTGATGCCGGCAACATATTTGTTTAGATAGAACAAGGTTGTGTAATGTTTAAAAATAACCACTGGCTGGAACATATCACAGCTAATCAGGTTAAACAGTAACACGACTGGGTGAAAAATTAACATGCCAGAGAGGCTGACGATTTTCAGAAGTAAACATGTGGAGGGGTTTACCGTCCCATGAAAGAGTACTCAGAAATTTTTAAAAATAAAATTTATAACTCAATTTAAACTTGCAAAGAATTCCCACATCTATGGTTCTCAGATAGCATCTCACAGGCAAGTAAATAGTGCACTTACTCACATTTTATTTATTCGTACACGCACTGTTCACTTTGTTAGGTTCAATTGCTTGTTAAGGCAAATATCTATCTAACAACTCAGTGCATTTAGACATGTAAACGCCATGATCAAGATGACCTGTTGAAATTAAACGGACTATCAGAAAAGTGATTTGAGTGATTCTTTACTTAAGATGGTTGTTGGTGCTAGATGGGTCTGAGTGTTTCAGAAACTGCTGATCTGCTGGGATTTTCCCACACAATCACTCCTAGGGTTTATAGCAAATAGTCTAAAAAAGAAAAAAAAAGAAAATATTCAGGGAGCAACAGCTCTCTGTGTGAAAATACCTTGTTGATGCCAGAGGTCAGGAGAATGGCCAGACTGCTTCAAGCTTATAATTAGGACACAGTAACTCAAATAACCACTCGTTATAACCAAGGTACGCATACCATGGTTATAACGAGCATCTCTGAACACACAACAGTCTGAAATCTGAAAGAGATGCGAACCATGTCCGTCCCATGACCACAGCGTTACCCATCTTCTGATAGCTACTTGCAGCATTTCACAATGCTTAAATAATCTCAAACTATTTTCTTTTTTGAACATGGGAATAAGTTCACTGTACTCAAATCATGTCCACAGTCACCAGAGCTCAATCCACATCATGGATTTACAGACAGCACATCTGCAGCGACTGAGTGATGCTATCGTGCCAATATGGATGAAAA